TTGCAAAGCCTGTTGCAAAGCTTCTTCTTCTGTTAGCAATTCTTCTAAATCTTCAGGTAGTTTTTCATTTTGCCTAGAATAATTTAAAAATTTTGCTGTGTGAAGGCCATACGAGCATAGTACTCAGCTCATTCTTGGTGATATTAGATTTGTTGTTATAAAAATTCTATCATCTTTTCAAAATTTTCTTTCAAATATTAGACTTTGGCTTCCAATCAAGCAATAACTTGGTCTTTTTCTTCATCCTTCCTCTCCTCAAAAATAGTGTCCTCACTTGTCTCAAATTTTTCTACCATAATAGTATCATCATGATATATTTCTTCTATAGGCTGTTCTGTGATAATAATATCATCTTGGTGCGTTTTTTCTATAATTGTTTCTTCTATTTGTTGTTGTAAATTAACAACATCCTGGTGTAATTCATTTACTTCCTGATGTATATCTTCTATGGTCATCCTTTTTACAGAAAAGGATTTATTTTTCTTTTGGTAACATTCATCACAGAGACCTTGGTTAACTTCTAAATCAGTAGTTTGTTTAGCAAAGAGGCACTCTTGGCAAAGAGCTACTTTTCCTTCAAAATTTTTCCTTAGGTTCTCAATTGCTTTGCAAGTATCAAAGTCAGGTTGAGAAATATTAAATAATTCGTTTAAGACCCATTGTAAAGTAGCCTCTTCATCTTCTGTAAGCAATACTTGCTCTGCTCAAAATAGAATAGTAATCTCTTCAGGAGTCTATTCTCGATGATATCTATTATCTTCTTGCTCTTCCATAGCTTCTTCTATGCTTCTATACTCTTCATCAAGTAGGACTTTAACTAAATGATAGATTCGGTTTTGGTTCAAATTATACTGATATCCAGCATTCCTGGTAGACTTAGTATAATACCTAATTCTGTTTCAAATCTCATAATTTAGATTATATTAGAGGTCTATAAAGATTTTATAAGCATACATATGTTCTAATTCACAGAACCACAATTCTTCATGTATGCTTTCTATATTATACATTCTTGATCTAGGTTTCTGAATATTACAAAGTTTGCATCGAACAAGAGTTCCTCTACCAAGTCCTGTATTGTAATATTCCTGGCTTCTAGGATCTTCTGGGTCAAGGGCTTCATAGTATGCTTTGTAACAAGCAGTACAAGTAAGTTTTTTTTCTAATTTGTATAGTTTATCAGATTGCTAAGAGGTACAACAATTACAACAATGATGGGTTCTCCTTCTACTATGGTAGGTTATTCTTCTTTCTTCTATTTAGTCTTTGTCACAACCATATTTGTAAGTTAAATTGTCAAGTTTAAGTTGGGCAAGAGGGCAGTTAATTTCAATATAACCAAATTCATTATTGCTATAACATTGGTTATCTGGACAATTCTTAAACAAGTAAGCAGTTTGTCCACAAGTTCTACAGTTATTTGACCTTTCATATTTGTTAAGGCAGTTAATAAGTACATGTCCAAATTTGTTGCAATAATAATATTGATTTCTGGAGCAATCTTTATACTGATGGTTAGCTTGACCACAGGTTTTGCAAGGTGGTTTTCTTTGTCGAGGTTGGTAGGTAGTCCATCCTTGGTCTTCATCTTCTGAGGATGCTGAAAATGCATACACTTCATGAGGTGTTAGATATTCTTGCTTATATAATTCAAAGTCTTCTGCTGTAGTATAGGTTAGTTTCTTTTCTTTAGGCTTTTCTTGCTCATAAGAGGTATCAAGAACAATCTTCTTTCTTTTCCAATAGAGAGTATATTGGCATATTTTCTAATTATAATTGGCTTCTACTTTCTTTGACTAGTCATTAC